CCACCCATGCTCGGAGGTAATGGCTGAGTTGCATCCGGGGGAGGTCCTAATCCCATGGGACTACCTTTACTGCCAGATACGTACATACCAGGATTTGGTTGACTGGGAACTTGTGATACCATGTCAGGTGGGAAGACTTTATCTGGATCCATTGAACCTCCTGGAAAGACGCCACCACCAACCATGTGTTGCATTCGCATTAAATTAGGCTGAGGTCTCATATTGCCAACAGGTCTCATCGAAGGATGTACACCAACAGATGTATTCATCGATTGTCCGTCCATCCTCGGAGAACCTCCCATGCCAGGAAGTCCACCGCTCATGGTTGATGGCATACCACTATGTGGGCCCATGCTATTTGGTACACAACCGTTTGGGAAGTATTGAAGATTTACAGATGGGGTGCCCATCTTTGATTCTAAATTAGATAAGGGATTTGTAAATCGTTGAAGGAAGTCCAAGCTTGGTGGTCCTCTAGGAGTATGACCAACGTTAGGCCTAGCCGGTAAATATTGTATCGTGTTCGGAGCACTAGGTTTTACTTGAACGTTCGCTCCATTGTAAGGACTAGGACCTGTTACGTGACCTGTCATTAATCTTGGCGGTGGTGCATGAGGATCGCCACCAGGATACGCACTTGCTGCATTACCTGAATGACTACTCATCATACCGTGTCCCATTATAGGATGACCTATTTTGCTAGGTACACCAGGACTTCCCGTATGCGAAGTTGTCGGACTATAACTCGTTGGTGGTCCCGCGAGACCCATGCACATTCCTCCTACTTCGTTTGGTTCATTGGTTGGACCACCCATATGACAACTTCCATTCATTTCACCGCCTATTTGCATCATATGCATACTATGCGGATTGCCGAATTGCATCATTCCAGTATTTCCAGAATGAATAGGTCCTTCATTACCTAATGAATTGCTAGCTGCCGTGTTAGTAAGTTGCTGACTCATCTGGGCTAAGGAAGTTATAGGATCAAAATGATTTGTACTCATTGCGGTTAAACTGCCGAGTCGCCCTCCGATATTGTTGGGATTAAGAGGCACATTGTCTGAAGGTTGACTCACATTAATAGATGGTCTTCCGCAAGGAAAGGGAGCATTTGGACCTCCCAGAGGAGGCACTACTGTTGTATTTCCAGAGTTATTTGGATTTGCAACTGTAGATTGTTGTTGTTGAGAGGGCTGTTGCGGTTGTTGTTGCGTTTGCTGTTGTGATTGTTGTTGTTGAGGTTGAGTTTGTTGTTGTTGAGTATCTTTTGTCGATGGCGGTGATGTGTCAGGTTTTGTAGTAGGTGATGCTGGTACTGTTCTTGGAGGACCCATACTATCCGGTATATTTGCGTTGTGCGGTGCTGGACTACTTTGTGCACTTGCACTAGACTTATTTCCAGGTTTTCCAGGATCAGCTGGAGTATGTGGAGCACCATTGCCTGGTGTATGCGGAGTATGAGGAGTATGTGGACTGTGTAAAGAACCTGTAAAGCCGCGATTCATATCCATTTGAACTGGACTCGCACCTTCGGATCTAGTAGGAAATTGATTACTATTGTCCAAAGCTCCTGGCAAAATTCTGTTCGGTATCTCTGTATTGCTGGCTGTGTTTCTAAAAAAAAAGTACAGAATGATATGAAATCATATATTTATATTAAGAAGTAAATAATCATTAAATATACTTACGTAGATAAATTGCCATCTTTTAAACTTGTATTTGGTTGTTTTTGTATTGTTAATTCTTGTCCTTCGAAAGTATTAAGATATTGAATCTGCTGAGGACTCGGAACCGGCATCAGATTTGCTTCCTTCACACCTGTTGCATTTACTGCTCCAGTATGTTGCTGCTTTTGCTGGGCTAAGGATTGCAGCGTGCGGCAAAACATACCATCCACTATGTTGTAACATATAACATGATCAATTCACCGCATAATATTTTTAAGCAGTGAACTTTTAAAATATTTTATGTAATAATTAAAATAATCATCGTTACTTAGTTGTTGTATTAAAATCCTTTGAATGCAATTTAATGTCAAATATTATTTAATATATTAAACATATTTTGAAACATACAATCTACAATAAAATGCCTATAATAATAAAATAATTATTTTATTGCTTGATCTTACCATTTGGAGGTTGACTGGTGGGAAAGTCTAAAGAAGAATCTTTTTGAGCAGTCGTTCCACTAGGACTAAGTGTTGAGATATGTGAATGAGAAACAGGCGTTCCTGGATTACTATGATTAAGTCTCGTTGTTGATACAGTTGTTGCATTCCCAACTGTTGGATTTGGAGAGTCTTGACTTGTCGGACTTTGTCCTTGTAAATGGCTAGTTCTCTGATTACTGAGTTGAAATTGTCTGTTGCAATCTGCAGGTGAATTTAGAGCTGAACTTGCGCGAGGTGATGGTAGAGACAAATTACTAGTTGGATTATTAGGTGAAGAAGGATTTGGACTTTGTATCGCAATTGGCACACTCGCAGATCGAGTCGTTTGATGATATGGTGGTGGTGGTCCTTGACTACGTGGAACTCCTACCATATTAGCACCTCGTAATGGAACTCCCGTTCCAGGACTTCCAACACTGGTCTGCAATATAAATAAATATATTATATAAAATTATATTAAATTGATATATTAATATTTTAAAAATACTTTTAATTGTTTCTTTTAATCATTTTACCTTATTTTTTCCATCAAGAAATTGATGTTGTAATTTATGCCAATCCATAGTTGGAGGACATTGAGTTGGTACAACTGAAGGAACATTTGTTGGAGGACATGTTGATACCGCTGTTCCTTGTGTTGCATCTAGTGTATTAGTAGTTTCTTCTTTATGTTCAGGAAATAACATCATTTGCATTTTTCTAATGGTTGCTAATTGAACCTCTCGATGTTGCCTTTGTTGAGGAGTTAAATTTTCGTCTGGAACTTTGACACCTTGTAAAGATGGCTGTAAACTGCCTGGACCTGGACTAGTAGTACCTCCTAATAAATTAGGACTATGACCCATTGTAGTATTATTTGGAGGTTGAGGATTTGCTGTAATAAAAGACATAGTTCTAATATGAAATATACACAAAAAAATACCATAAAAAAATTAAAATATTTTTAATTATAATACAAAATGCAAAACTACATATTACCTGAATTACCAGGTGAATTTGGTACAAGGCAAGGCACATCTATATTTGCATCATCTAATGATGGTTCAGAATTGCCAAGAGTATTACCACCATTTAAATTTCTTAGATTAGGTTGTTCATTCCAGAATGGAGGAGCATTAGGATCAAGAGCCGGTAGATCAGGAGGTTGTTCATTTTGAAAATTATTTGTACCTCCTTGGTGAGTTTTTTGTTTCATCATTGCAAGATTATTTAACCATTGTGCAGGGTTTTGACGGAATTGATTTACTTTATTTGGATGTTTCTAAAATAATAATATTGTATTCTATTAATAAACATAAAAATAATGTAAAATTTTTTATGAAATTTAATTACATACTTCTAAATACTTTTTAGTGCCTGGTTGTGCACAATGATAAGCAATAATTGATGGATATTGCCCTTGTAACACTGCATCTGCACCTTTATTTGCTAATGTTGTAGAAAATACAAAAATTTGACTTTGTTGTTGCATATATTGAGCTTCACCACTTCCTGTACTAGTTCCCATCTGTTTTCCAAGAACATTACTAACTAATGGCTGAATACCATCTGCAGTAATCACATTACCACTACAATCTACACCATAAATGAAATAAAATTAAAAAAAAATGTTAAATTATATTAAGAATATAGATAATTAATAGAATGTAGAAATTAAATTTATACTTACCAGGTATATCATCCGTGGGATTATTATGATCACCTTCTTGCTTCACTGAATTTAGAATTGGTTGATTTGCACTATTATTTTGATTCTCCCCTGATAATGTACTTTCTCCATTAGAAGGATCCAAACAAGGATCCCTAGAACACTCTGTTGTGTCCTCTCCAGTTGTATCATCATTATTACCTCCGGAACCCTCTTCTTTAATTTTAACTGGATCCGTATCAGGCTCCTCTTTAACAACAGTGGTTGGTACACAACTTGGTTCGTTGGGTTTTTTTTCTGTTTTCATGTTTGAAGCTTATTGGATAAATTATCCTGTCAGACCTTATTCAGGTGAATAAAGATTAAACACATGGCCACTACCATCCGCAACATGCGGTGTAACAATGCATTCGAAACAATAGTAGAGGTTAACAACGAAATATCATTGACCGGTACCGTGCAAGCATGTCCTTAAAAAACCATGTATAACAGCACTCTCGAGGAAGGCATGTTTTTGTGAATCTGTATTATTTTTCTGATGATAAAAGTTCTGGTGATCGCCGATTCAGCGCGTTTTCAGTCATTTAGTCTAGCTAACCGCAGAATCGGATTCCTACGCATGGAGGAATCACGGTTGTCAGCGGGCGACTGATATAAGAATATGAAAGTAAGACCAGTACCACGAAGATATCGGGATGAAGAAAATATCTAAATGTCAGCCCCGTCTCTGCGGCGAGTACATAGCGTACCTTCGACTTTAATGTTGTAAAGAACACCACGTTATAACCACAAAGGATGTATCCAAAACATGGAACAGGGGCCAATGCACGCTGCACTCAAATTTCTTTGCCATTCGTGAGCATTGTTCTCCAACTTTATTTGTCACTTCATGGTCGCTTTGATTATTTATTTCTTTTACGCACGGCTGCCAACTGCCCGTCGAAAGTTAGACATCGTTTTAACGCGCCTCGAGAAGGAAGCGTTCATACCTTTTCCGATAAATAGAAAAAGATGGAAAGAGCACACCAGGCGTACTTGACTTGTTCCTTACACTTGATCGCCTGCAGGGTTACTATTTTGGTCTTTCTTTGCTTGTATTTTCACCATTTTTTCGAAGCTTTAACGTAAGTATTCATATCTAAATGCATACCTTTTTTTATTCTTTTAGTAAAGTAAACTTTTATTCACGATAATATCTCCCTAGACAGAGGCTGCATTTATTTAACGCAGAATCAAAACTCTGTAAAATTAAATTTGGAATACGCGAGACCAGGGACGAATCAACTAATAGCAGTGCCTATGTTCTTTAACTTTCATTATTTTTTACTTTATGTACAACATACAGTTCCCATGTATAAAAATATTTTCCAAGCGGTATTTTTAAAATGTAAAATGATATTGAAAAAAATTAAAAATTTAACTAAATATTAATGTATTCGTGTTTATATAAATGTTTAATTTAAATATATATAAATTATCGATATTTCATAGATGTTATTTAAGAAAAAATATGAAATGAAAAATTTAAATTTTTGTTATTTTTTAATTGCATGACTTATTTAACGCAAATTAACATAGATGTTTTATGTATACATTTAAATGTATAAGATTTCATATTACTTAAAAATTAGATATATGATTATAATTAATTATATTTCATATATATTTTTTTATAATAGTAATAAATTTAATTTTAACTATAATATATTAAAAAAATGAAACAATTTAATATAATTAAATAGATAATTAATAAAGTAAATATAACCTAGGATTTTTTTTTTAATTCTTTTATATTTTGAATAATTGTAATTTAAATATTATATGATATAAAAAAATATTTATTCAAATATAACAAATTTATTATTTATGTATTTTTTATTTTTTTATTGCTAAAAATTTTTCATATAATTATCTTATATTTTACAGATTAAAGTAAGTCATATAAAAATGTCACAATTGGAGTTAGATCCTCAATTTACACAGGGTTTACATCTTTTACATTCCACTAATAAAGATTCTGCAGAACAATTACGAGCTCTTCTAGATGAAGCAATCAAACAAAAATATGGACCATCAAAAATGTTATCGAATGTATTACACAAAAAGGTAATTAGATAATAATTAATTTAAACATATTATTTTGAGGGTTATCAAGAAAAAAAGAGTAAATCAAAGTTTATATTAATTAAGTTATTATACTTACAGAATTAGTTCTGATATCAGGGCACTCATGAAGCATAGGAGATTTCATTCACGTAAAAAGATATCCAGTATTTGATCCCTCTGTATGCACCATCATCATTATATTCATTTTTTGAATTTCTATCTTTTGGATTTTCTGTTTTTAGTATATGATGGAGGAACCAGTACTAAGTGACCATAGCAGCAGTAGTAAAAAGAGCAAAAGCTCCTCTTCTTCTTCTTCCAAACATTCAAGTAAATCAAGCAAAAACAACTCTCCTGTAAATTTACCAACGCGTGACACACCACCTGATATTATTCAGACTGATAATACTTTAGCATTAGAAATATTAGAAGATGATCTGACATGTGTAATTTGTAAAGGAATGGATGTTGGTGCAAGAAACAGACTTGTTGAATGTTTAGAATGTCATTCATTATATCACCAAGAATGTCATGTTCCACATATTTTAGATTCTCAAATAGATGTACCAGGATTGGTGTGGTATTGTTCAAACTGTTCCAAATCTCAGGTGTGTGTATTCACTCACATTATAATTTATTATATTTTTATATTTAAAAATATATTTTTGATTTATATTGTAGAAAAAAAATAAATATGAAATGAAAATAAATTTTTCTTTTAATTTATAGGTTTCAAAAGAAAGGAGTTCACCAAAAACAGTGATAGAAAGTAAATCTAAAGAACAAAAAAAATCCAATTTAAGTAAGTTTTTAATATTAAAAAATATATTTTAAAAATTTTCTTTTTTATAAAAATTTTTAAAAATTTATTGTATATTAAAAAAAAAGAAAAAAAACAGCTATTATTATTTTTTTTAAATAGGTGGTGGAAACAAAATAACACCAAATATTCATATTATAAGTGCAGATAGAAGATTAAAAGATATGATGAAAAAAGCTAAACAGGATAAACGAAGCACAAATATTACTCAAAGTTCAAAAAAAAATTCTTCAGCTAATTCACCAGCATTGTCTTCAACAAAATCTCAGGAAAAATCACTAGTATATAAAATCAAATCAGGTGTAGAATGAAGCACTTATATATATTATGACAATATTTTATAATGTGTAAAAGACTTAAACAAATTTTATAATTTCGACATTACAAGATGATTAGTTAATTGAGAAAATCTTTAAAATTAATAGTGATAATCAGATATTCTGATTCGATATATTTCGACTAAAATCGATATATTTTGTCAAAAATAGTATAATCTTTGAACAAATAATATTAATATTTCATACCGCAATAATTCCCGATTTTTTGCTAATATTTTTATTTTTTATATTATTATATATTTTCGTTAGAAATACTTAAATAATTTTTTTTAATATAATTTGTTATGAAATAACGAATTGTGACGCAATGTAATTTGATATTATAACATTTAACATTTAAAAAATATAATTTTTTGTACAAACATACATTAATTTAAATATATAAATAAAAATGTACAATTGAATTTTTATAAAATTTCACAAAAACCTAAAATAAAAAAATAACATTAATTATGGGTATTTTAAATAAATTTTACAAATTCATTTATAATACCAATATATTTTTGCAATTTTTCAAATGCTTATTTGTTTATCCCTACATCCCATTGAAAATTTAGCAAGAGTCATTTCTCGAATGTTACTTATAATCTACTTGTATGCGAGATGGGGGGTTGAATTCTATTTACATAGGGTTTTTCGGGATTGCATCTAAACGCGTATATTAATAGGTATCGCTCATACATTCAACATACGCACAAATAAAGCAGTATTATATTCATACATACATTGCACTCTTCACTTATAATATACAACGACAAAACATACATTCAAAAATTCATGGGAATGAAAATGACCCCATTTTATATTTTTTCTTACATAGTTCCCGAGTTAAATATATTTAAGTTTTTCTTATAGGGAACAATTACCCTCCTTCCCCCCATCCATTTTTTTGGAAGCTTAACAAAGAATAATCTTAAATTTGACATGATGTTTGGAATCATCTATACTACGAAGCATGATATTACTAATCGATTTATAAAACCGTTGAACATTTCCTCCATTAATTATAATACAATACATATGTTGAATGCTGAAATTGACAAGCTTTTCAGATGGATGGAGTCAATTGTCGAGAGTACAAATTGTCGAGAAATTCTGCTATAACACAAGCAATTCTCAATATTATACTTAAATGTCAATATATTTTTCGTAAGAATATATTGAAAATATTTAAATGTCACAAATTCTGAGACTAGTTTTCTTTGATATTTTAAGCAATAAATAATATTTTTATATTAATTATATTGAAAGATAAATAAAAATTAATTTATTCTAAATTTTGTTGTATTCAATTAGTTTTAAATAAATTGATAAATAATTCGAAAAATAACCAATAGTATTTTCGATTTAAAATTAATTATTAGTGTAATTTTTTTTTTAAATATTTTTTTCATTAAATATACAAATATTTTATACAATATTAGGATATTTTAAATGCTTTAAGGAAACAACAGAATTTCATCGAAAAATTTTGCATGTGTACAATATACATTAAAAAATGTACATATTACAGCTTTCGAATTACGCTCGAACATATTATATTCTTCACGTATCATACAAGATATTCTACATTATAATTTTTGAACTATAATTTTTGGAAATTAATATTTTGATTGCTAAAAATGTAAATCACACACAGGAATCTCCTAATTTTTAGCTAATAGAGACAAAACGTATATAGGAATATATGTGCAAATATATTAATATACGTCAATCTGCGCTATGTAAAATAATATACACATATAAAAGAGAGTTTAATATACCGTAATAAAAACATCGATCCTTACTATGGACATTATATAACATTATTCGAATAATGTATAAACCTACTTTAGAAAATTCCAAGTCAATTTTACAATTCCAATAGCTTCTGTAATATACTATTTTTTTTACTAATTCTTACATGTTTCAATAATATAAAAATATTGATATTAATAATAATGACAATATAATGAATATTTTATTGAATATATACAATTAGAAACGTATCATCCACAATTCAAGGATTTGTTTGCTATTTATTTAATTCATTATATCGTTAATAATATTATATCGTTATATTTGCATTTATGCATAACGATTTAATTACAATACAAATTATTTTTTATTACCAAATATTTTCATTATTTGTTTTATACAATATATTATTTTAATACATAAAAATATATTACTTAATCTATGAAAGAAATAGTATTCATGTATATTTTTGCTGTAATTATATTTTTATATTATAATAATTATTAGAACAGACTTTTTTCATATTTAAATAGAAATATAATATTTTATTTCATTTTATTTCGATCATTAAGTTAATAAAATTTAGATAAAGAAAATTTATCATTTCAAAAATATTTAATAAAAAAAAATTTATAATTATTTTATTAAATTTTTAAGTAATAAGTTTTCTAGCATAGTAATGCAATAATGCAAATTACTTGTTTTTCATAATTCATTATCATTAATATATGAATACTATTTCTATTTCCAAAATATTGCATAAAAATATTCATTATTTATCGAAATAGAATAAACATCTTAATGAAATAATACGAATAGCGATTTTTAAACGATTGTTTCAATCCATTTCATTGTAAATAGTTTATTAGATTAAAAACATTTTAAAGAAATAATAAAAAAGTAATTTAATAATAAAAATTATTAAAATATTATTAAATTAAATACTAATATTTTTAAAATTAAATTTTGTATATATGTGTGTTTGTATATATATATTTGCATTTTTAATTATAATATAAATATTTATGCTAAGATAATATACAATTTGTATAAAAAATTATAATAAAATAATGCCAATTAAAAGTCAAAATTAATTAATTTCATTTTGGAAGACTCATCAATAATTTAATATAACTGAATTGCAAATATTATTCACAAAAATATTTTTCATAACTGTATTAGTTTGCATAAACAAATTTTATTTATTATTTTAAATTATAATTATTAAATATAAAATTATAATTATTAATAATTATAAAATGTTCTGAATTTTCTAAATTAGAATTGAATTTATAAGCAAAATAGAAAAAGAATACTTTAAGTAAAGTTAATAAACTATATTTATAAATATTTTTCTTTAATTTTAATAAATGTTATTTTTTTGCTGAAATTTTTATAGAATTATTTGGATTAAATTTTTTTTATATTTAATTACGAAATAAAAATAATTTTTATATTTTTTACTATAAATTCATTATACAAATAAAATATGTTCCATAAATAAAAATAGTTAGTAAAATAGTTAGTAAAATAATTTTCAAATCTATGGTATATTATAATATCATATCTATTTTATGATATTCAATATCAATATAGAAAATTTTAATTTTGTAGAAAAATTAGATTGAAATATATACAAAATAATATTTCTAAAATATTACAAAAAAAATAATAATAGAAATAATAATAATATTACAGATGTATATAATTATAATTTATCGATAGTTGCAAGTTTCATTTTCTATTCTGTTATCATTTATATCATATATTCTTGTAATATTTAATATAATAAATTATATTGCATCAAATACATAATGAAATAATATGATATATAAAATTAAATCATTATATAACTTCTAATATGGATTAAATCCAATTAAATTTGAATATAATAGAAATCGAATATTTGCAATGTTCTATCATCATTTTACATAAACAAAAAAAAATTCAATAAAACGATTAATATTTTTAAAAAATGATTACACGTATACATAGTATATATACGTGAATAAAATATATGTATAATATAAATCACATAGAGCAGATTGACGTACTATTTTCGTATAGATTATTCAATATCTGTCAGAAATATAAATAAATACATTTCATATAAAACAGAAAGATACATAAGTCAACGACAGAGAAGCTGAGGGATTGTAGAATAGATAAAATACACGAAAATGTTAATTAAGTACAAGAATGAGCTTAAACCTCAGCATCTCTAGACCTACCATTTAAATTATCAAATAATAATTTTTGTAGTTCGAATATTAAGTAAATCTATTTTAATATAACAGTTTCTAAAAGCGCATGGAGAAAAATTGGCAGTGCGCAATAGGCAGTGAATTAAACTGTTAAATACTAATATATATCAGAATAATGAATAATTTCAGAGATAATATTTTATTAAAAAATGCAATTTTTAAACTGAAAGAGTCTTAAATAAAATAAAATAGTGAAAATAATAAATCGCAAAAAAATACTGTTTATCGTTGTATCTTCTTAAATCTCCTTTTTTTAAATGCATTTAATTATGATATTATTGAAACTGGCGAAAAATCTCAAACATCTAATGAACGACAAAAATATAACTGGACATGTATAAAATTTATTTCTACTGCATTTTCTTTTTTTTATTTTCTTTCTTTTTTTTTAATCTGTATTTGTAAGAGTCTAGAAATCGTTCTTTACTGATATACAATATAAAAGATTTTTTTCATTTTTGTAACTATTATGTGTTTCACGCTTAACGATATACCATAATAACTATTGTTGAATAGACAATTAATAGATAATTGTACCTATATATGTAATAATATTAACTTATTATATAACTATTGTAGTAAGAGCAATAATAATTATAATATAGCTCCTATAATAGTTGTAAAATCATTATATGATCTATATAGTGATCTTACAAATCATAGTAACAGTCATATTCATATAAATGTAGTTGTGTAAAATAGATAAAAATAAAGTCAAAAAATAAACAAAAGAAAAAATAATAAAAAAATTGTTTTTTCTTTTTTTTTTTTACATATTAAATATATATATATATATATAGGCCTAGAGTAATCTGAACTTTTCTTACAATTTTTTTATTTTTCCAATTTTTTCTTTCATTTAACCATTAACTGTCTTAATTTAATATCGTTCTCTCTCTCTCTCTCTCTCTCTCTCTCTCTCTCTCTCTCTCTCTCTCTCTCTTCATTCGTTCTTTTGTCATCTCTGAAAAAGTTTTTCATTCTCAATTATATATTATAATACATATATAGACCCTCTCTAACTAACTATAATCCATGAAGATGTATGTTGTGATCTTTGCTTTACATATTTTTTATGTATATATATATATAATATATAACATATTAATAATATATATCATAATGAAGATAGTAGGCATAGCCACTTGTGCTCGGATCACAGACTACTTGCTGCCGTACTTCTTTTGTACAGACAGTCTGATGGACACTA